ATTTATTTTTATTTTAGTAGAGACAGGGTTTCACCATGTTGGTCAGGATAGTCTCAATCTCCTGACCTCTTGATTTACCTGCCTCGGCCTCCGAAGATGCTGGGATTACAGGTGTAAGCCACTGCGCCTGGCTAATAAATCTGTTTTTATGTGCTTACATGTCATGTGCACATTCTCTTTGGTGACATGTCTTTTCATGTCACCTTTTTTGGTTGGATTGGTTTCTTTAGTTGTCCTTTTTAGTTCGATTTTTAACTGCTAAATTTTGAGAGTTTTAGATTGCCCTTTTTCAGTCGGATTGTTTTTTTTTTTTTTCCTGCTGAGATTTGAGAGTTTTAAAATATATTCTAGATACAATGTCTTTGTCAGACATGTGGTTTGCTAATATTTTCTACCAAATAAAGATTAGATTTGAACAGATACTTCACTAAAGAAGGTAGGTGGATGGCAAATAAGCACATGCAAAGATGTTCACTATTATTTATTATTAGAGAAATGCAAATTAAACTTACAATGAGATTGTACCACAATGAGATTGTACCACAATCTCATCGCAGGCTTAATTTGCATTAGACTGACTAAAATTAAAAAGATGACCATAGTAAGTGTTGGCAGTTTTTTAAAAAGTTAAAATACCATATGATTCAGCCATTCTATTCTAGGTATTAACCCAAGAGAAAGGAAATATATGTCCACATATTTGTACACAAATGTTCATAGCAGCTTTATTTATAACAGTCCCAAAGTGATACAACCCTATGTCCATGAACAGGTGAATGAAAAAAAAAAACCTGTAGTATATTTATACAATAAAATAGTACACAGTAATAAAAAGGAATAAACTCCCAATACATGCAACAGCATGGATGAATCTCAAAATAAGTGAGTGAAAGAAACCAGACCCAAAAGTTTGCATGCCCTATGATTCCACTTACGTAAAACTCCAAAACTAATCCATAGTGACAGAAAACAGACCAGTGGTTGCTTGGAGAGGGGGGTTGTGTGATGGAAGGGGGAGCTTACAAAGGGCCATATGTTCACATATATGCCCAGGTGTTGGATACGTTTGCTATCTTAACTGTAATAATGTCTTCGAGGTGGGTGGATCATGAGGTCAAGAGATCGAGACCATCCTGGTCAACATGGTGAAACCCCGTCTCTACTAAAAATACAAAAAAATCAGCTGGGCATGGTGGCGTGTGCCTGTAATCCCAGCTACTCAGGAGGCTGAGGCAGGAGAATTGCCTGAACCCAGGAGGCGGAGGTTGTGGTGAGCCGAGATGGCGCCATTGCACTCCAGCCTGGGTAACAAGAGCGAAACTCCGTCTCAAAAAACAAAACAAAAAAAATGTCTTCATGGGCATACATATATGTCAAAACTTACCAAATAACACAAAAGAAACGTGCAGTTTACTAAATGTCAGTTATACCTCAATAAATCTGTTAAGAAAAAGTAAAACAAAACAACAGAATATAAGCTTTCAGGCTGTGCTTCAGAAGAGAAGGCAACATTACCAGATAAATACTGCCTTAAAAATCAGTCTTTCCTCTTAAGTATTTTAAGTACATGATACTTAAGCATCTAATCTGAAAACAGCTGACACTATGATTAAAAACATTTTTTTTTAGTTCACTGACATTATAGCATTGTTGGAAATGAAAGTATATGAGTGATAAGGAGTTTTTAATTTTAAGGCCCTTTCTTACCTTTGTCCAATGATGATGGACGTCCATTGTTCCTAGCATCACATGGCCCACTGCACTCATGCCGGAACGGTCTGTAAATATGATTGTACACCCTGATGATAAAACACAAAACCTTTGGTCACGGTCAAGGAGCTTCATTCTTTCAGCATTATGCAAATAATTAAATTTAGTGTATAAACTCAGGATTACATTCAGTAGAAGCTTAAAGGCTAACTTTATGCCACTGCTTTATTCAAAGAACAAATTTAAAAGTTCAGCTGTAAAAAAGTTACTTGGTTTTCCATTAAAATTTATAGATGTACATAGCAGCTAAGTGATATTTTAAAAGAAAGTGGAAAATGTTTACCTTTTGCTTTTTTAAGTGTTTCCAAATTCTGCTGTGCTAAGCGGCCTAAACTATGTAACTGGCTACAGCGGTGGGCAATGCCCCAGCTCCTCTGCCACCTAGACCAACAGAGCACACAGGAATGTTAACAAGTGGCACCCAAAGAAGGACCGAGCACTCAGCACAACTGCCAGAGTCCTTGGGAAGTCAATGAGTTTCTTTCTAAAGCAGGCACATAACACATTTTGATTGATCATATGTTTCTAAGCTAGCTACTTTTTAAAGCAACCAAATGGAAAATGGATTATTTACCAGAGGGCAGAAATATTACTACTACGTTTAGGTGCCCAAGATTTAAAATAAGCAAATATACAATGTTTCTATTTAAAAATAAGATGATGAAATGGGAAACCTTTGAAAAAAATATTTTTCTTTTTCACATTGTTACAATGATGATGGTTTTGTTTTGTGTTCAAGTTCCAACTAGGAATTCCAGTTAGGTTTATCAGGTTCTCTTTTTGTTTTTGAGACAGGGTCTTGCTCTGTCACTCAGGCAGGAGTGCAGTGGTGTAATCATGGCTCACTGCAGCTTTGACCTCCTCTACTCAAGCGATCCGCCTACCTCAGCCTCACAAGTAGCTGGGACTACAGGCGTGCGCCACCAGGGCTAGCTACTTTAAAAAAATTTCTTGTAGAGACAGGGTTTCACCATGTTGCTCAGGTTGGTCTTGAACTCCTGGGTTGGGTCAAGCTATCTGCCCGCCTTGGCCTCCCAGTGTTGAGGTTACAGGCGTGAGCCACAGCGCCTGACTTCTGCTTCTTTTTATCTCATTCTAGAGAAAGGGATTTTGATGAAATCATGTAATCTGCTCATTTTATAAACTAATATTAAACCTCAGTGACACATGGAACCTGACAATGACATGACAGAGGCCCTGCTGTGTAACTGTGAAGAGTACTGGTCTCGGGTGATGTCAGAAAACCCACCTTGGAATTCTAATTCTGTGGTTTACCAGCTCTGTGACCTTGAACAACCTGCTTTTAGCCTTCCTAAGGTTTTCACTTTCATGCATGCAAAGTGAGGATGTTTCCTGCTGCACAGGTAGTAGACATCAAATGAGGTAATGTGTGTGAAGGAGTCAGGCATTCAAAATGGGCTCTCAAGAAACTTAGGTTCTTCTTTTATCCTAATACTGATTTTGATGAATGTCATTTCTGATAAAATGAAAACTTACTTAAAAATTGTTTTTTCTTTAAACTACAATTTAAAAAGTAATATAATTTCAAAGAATATTAATTTTTGATTATTTGAAATTAAAAAATATGATAAAGGTAGTAAATGCTGTTTTCATTAAAAATAGTTTATATAGGCTGTTTAGAATGAAAAACAATGTAATTAGTTAATGTTTATGTTTGCTGGAGTTTTGGCTAATTTTTTTTAGCAAGTAAAGAAGCCCTTCATGCCCATGGTCCTCAAATGCTATGGTCTCAGGACCCTTTTACACCTTAAAAATTGAATACTCCAAAGAGCTTTTTTTTTTTTTTTTGAGATGGAGTCTCACTCTGCAGCCCAGGCTGAAGTGCAGTGGCCTGATCTCAGCTCACTGAAACCTCCGCCTTTCGGGTTCAAGCGATTCTCCTGCCTCAGCCTCCTGAGTAGGCTGGGATTATAGGCTTGTGCTATCACGCCTGGCTAATCTTTGTACTTTTAGTAGAGACAGGGTTCTACCATGTTAGTCAGGCTGGTCTTGAACGCCTGACCTCATGATCCACCTGCCTCAGCCTCCCAAAGTGCTGGGATTACACGCGTGAGCCACCGCACCCGGCTGGGTTACATCTATTGACATTTACCATCATATAAATTAAAGCTGATAAATTTCTCCATAATACTGTAAAATTATTCTTTTTATGTTTAAGAAATCCTTTCATTTTCTTTGCCCTAGTCCGCTCTGACAGATCTTTTAAAATTACTATTAGAAAAAGTTATTTGCATGCAACTTGATTTATTTACCTTAAAAACTTTAAGGAATGATCTTACTATTTTGTTTTTAGTTAGAAAAGTTTATGCTAATAGGCTATGGAATGGGAAGAACACCATATAATAAAAATTGAATCTGAAAATGATTAGGGTGATGATAAAATAACAGATATATGCATACATTCAAACATTCCACACATGGAAGCCTAAAAGAATGCTTTGAAATTCTGAATTATCTTATAAAATGATTATTTGGCTATACAAGAACAGAACATGTAAATACCATCTGTACTCTGTAAACACAGGGAAAAAAGATGTTATTATGGTACACAAATAGTCATTTGGTTTAATATAAGAAAAAAAGTCCTAATAATGAGAGCTGAAAACAACAAAACAGGCTATAGCAAAAAGTAACAAAGATGTTTAAACATGAAAACTGGATGATGATTTTTCTGAGTTCTAGAGATGGGAAGTCCATGACTGAATCACCTGATTCCTCCTATTCTCTCCGTACAGTTTTAAGAACTGTTAAATCTATTTTGCAATAAATTTCAGCATGGATCTTTATATAACTGCAATTTCCAAGTTTATGAATACTTACTGAAAAAGTTCTGCTATATAATATAGAACCAAGAATACAACATCCATTTTCTCTTTCCTCTCCTCTTTTTAAACTCAAATACCAATCTTTTAAAACACTTTATTATTATTATTATTTAGAGATGGGATCTTGCTATGTTGTCCAGGCTGGTCTCAAACTCCTGGCCTCAAGTGATCCTCCCACATTGGCCTCCCAAAGTGCTAGAATTACAGGTATGAGTTACTGTGTCTGGCCTTAATATCTTACAAGATGGTGGCATAATTACTTTTTATATATTACCTGTATATGGAAGAGGATATTTTTCTTACAAACTTATTATTTAAAAGTTTATTATGCTAAAAACTTAAACCTTACTTAAGTAACATACACATAATTTGAGATGAAGTCATGCTCTATCACCCAGGCTAGAGTGCAGTGATGCAATTATAGCTCACTGCAGCCTCAAACTCCTGGGCTTAAGTGATCCTCTTCCCTCAGCCTCCCAAGTAGCTGAGACTACAGGTGCATGCCATAGTGCCTAGCTAATTTTGTAAGTTTTTGTAGAGATGGGGCCTCCTTATGTTGCCCAGGCTAGTCTTGAACTCCTGGGCTCAAGTGATCCTCCCACCTCGGCCTCCCAAAGTGCTGGGATTACAGGTAAGAGCCACTGTGCTCAGCCTTACGTCAATATTTAAAACAAGAAATTAGTAAGAGTTTTCTTACTTAGATGAACATTTCATTATGTTCATAAAGATAATTGAAGAGTACTCAGTTATCAGAATCACTAAAGTTAAAGATGCAAATATTTAGCTGCTGAAAAGCTTATTAGTAGGTAATTCATATTCATTTTAATTTTTAAATTAGGTAATCTCTTCTTTATTACCTGATATCTGAGAGTTGCAATTGATGAGACAGTTCATGTTTTAAACGATCTAGTTCTTTTCTAAGTGGCAAACTGTTCTTCAGCTTTTTAACAGCACTTTTCCCATTGTTATCTAACCAGGATCTAGAAAGAAAAAGGAGAGATATATACACTTTGCCGTACTAACTATAATATTAATATTTCCACTATTAAAAGACACATGCATGCACTTGAATATTCACAATATTAAAGATTTGGAATCAACCTAAATGACAATCAATGACAGACTGGGTAAAAATAATGTAGTACATATATGCCATGAAATACTATGCAGCCATAAAAAAGAATGAGTTCATGTATTTCATGGGAACATGGATGGAGCTGGAGGCTATTATCCTTAGCAAACTAATACAGGAACAGAAAACCAAATACTGCATGTTCTCACCTATAAATGCAGCTAAACGATGAGACCACATGGACACAAATGTGGGAACAAAAGACACTGGGGTTCACTTGAGGGTAGAGGATAGGAGGGAGAGGATCAGTAAAAATAACTATTAGGTACTAGGGTTAGTACCTAGGTAATGAAATAAACAGTACAACAAACCCCTATGATGCAAGTTTATTTATATAACACACCTGCACAGGTACCCCTGAACTTAAAAGTTAAAAAAATTGTGGCCAAGTGCGATGGCTCACGCCTGTGATCCCAGCACCTTGGGAGGCTGAGGCAGGTGGATCATGAGGTCAAGAGATCAAGACCATCCTGGCTAACATGGTGAAACCCCGTCTCTACTATAAATACCAAAATTAGCTGGGTGTGGTGGCGCATGCCTGTAGTCCCAGCTACTCAGGATGCTGAGGCAGGAGAATTGCTTGAACTGGGGAGGTGGAGGTTGCAGTGAGCTGAGATGGTGCCACTGCACTCCAGTCTGGGCAACAGAGTGAGACTCCATCTCAAAAAAATAAAAAAAAAATTGTACTCAGAAAAAAAACGACACATACATTATCTTAAAGCAGACCCAGTGTTAAACTGAGTTTTCAATCAAACCTTTACTTCTGCATATTCTTTCTCGGAATACCTACTTTTTTTTTTTTTTGAGACAGAGTTTCACTCTTGTTACCCAGGCTGGAGTGCAATGGCGCGATCTCGGCTCACCGCAACCTCCGCCTCCCGGGTTCAGGCAATTCTCCTGCCCTAGCTTCCTGAGTCGCTGGGATTACAGGCACGCGCCACCATGCCCAGCTAATTTTTTGTATTTTTAGTAGAGACGGGGTTTCACCATGTTGACCAGGATGGTCTCGATCTCTTGACCTCGTGATCCACCCGCCTCGGCCTCCCACAGTGCTGGGATTACAGGCTTGAGGCACCACGCCCGGCCGGAATACCTACTTTTAAAATAAGTTGCTTGGAGAACTGCCAACACCTGTCAAATCATATTCTAGCTATGACAACTTCCTTCGCATATTAAAAAATTAAATTTTAGTTACATCAAACCAGTCACTAGATTTATAGAGATAGAATAATTTTTTAAAAATTAAAAATACTTCAAAGCATGTTTATTACAACCTTCAGTAGGCTACACTAGATCTTCACTGACGTCAGTCATACACATAGGGGAGCGTAGAACTAATACTAATTATGAAGCAAGTGAGCAAATATAATGGAGCTAAACAGGTGTAAAAGTCAAACTTGACAGACATATCTGATGGGACTAGTAACAATTAAGAGGCAATGGGTCCTGATGAAGGAACATGAAGATCACTTTGTGGATTCTTGCTGGGTGGACACCAGTTTCCCCTTTATTTTAGTCTTGGATATTAATACCCTGAGCTCCCAATGCTGATTCCCTCATCCCTGTAACCTAGTCCCTCCACTGGTCAGACTTTGCCAATCTAGTCATTTGCCATAGTCTTCTTCCAGGTGGGTCTCTTCACTGCCCTGGTGCTCACTGACACCTCCATTGCTTTCTACCCAACCAAATGTCCAGTTTCAGTCTCATCTCAACTGTATTAACTCTATAATAAGCTCAGCAGAAAGATGTTCTCTAAACCTGTATTTCTTAGAATGTAAAGTTTACCTCAATAGTCTTACGAGAATAAATAAATATTAAACATGCTTTAAGGATTAGGAAGAATAGCTTTCAGAAAAGAGCTGAGAGCCTATGTGGCCTTCTAGAGAGCAGCACTGCCTCTGTAGAAACTGTCTCTCACTTGGTGCTATAATCATCATGACACAGGGGTGCTTGTTACTGCTCGGGGTCACTGGCTCCCCAAGGGGAGTCCAGAGAAATGAGTGACCTGGACGGAGTCCTGGGAGGCTGAAGAGCTGTTGCAGGAGTTGGGGGTGGGGGGTAGAATGGCTAAGTGACTCCGGGCTGAGGGGAACATTTCAGATTCCAAAACAAAGTGGTGGGGGTGGGCCCTAAGCATTACTATGCCAGAGAAAACGCCAGGAAAACCAGAGGTTCCCTTTCTTCTTATTTTTTTTTTTTAAATAGAGACTGGGTCTCATTTTGTTGCTGGATTCAAACTTCTGGGCTCGAGTGATCCTCCTGCCTCAGCCTGCCAAAATGCTGGGACTACAGGCATGAGCCACTGCGCCTGGCCATTTTTTCTTGAACAAAAAATTTTTTTGGCCGGGTGTAGTGGCTCATGCCTGTAATCTCAGCACTTTGGGAGGCTGAAGTGGGTGGATCATGAGGTCAGGAGAGTGAGACTATCCTGGCTAACATAGTAAAACCCCGTCTCTGCTAAAAATACAAAAAAAGTTAGCCAGGCATGGTGGCACATGCCTGTAGTCCCAGCCACTTTGGTGGCTGAGGTAGGAGAATCGCCTGAACCCAGGAAGTAGAGGTTTCAGTGAGCTGATATCACACCACTGCACTCCAACCTGGGTGACAGAGCGAGACTCCATCTCAAAAAACAAACAAAAAAAATTCATGGGCCATGCTACTCTTCTCTGTTTCGTTCTAATTTTTTTGAGATGAGGGTCTCACTATGTTGCCCAGGCTGGTGTGATCATGGCTCACTGAGCCTCAAACCCCTGGGCTCAAGTGATCCTCTAGCCTTATCCTGGTGTGATCGACCTCCTGGGCTCAAGTGATTCTCTAGCCGTAGCCTCTCTACTAGCTGGGACTACAAGCATGTGCTACCATGGCCACCTAATTTTTTAAAGTTATTATTTGTAGAGATGAGGTCTCGCTATGTTGCCTAAACTGCTCTTGAACTCCTAGGCCCCAGTGATGCCCCCACCCTGGCCTTCCAAAGTGCTGGCATTACAGACGTGACCCACTGTGCCTGGCCTCATTCCACTTTTAGTATATGTACTGCTGGAGCGAGCACTAGGTTTCTTAGTAGTCACTTTAAATGTTTTAGATGTGGTGATCTAAAGCATTTAAAAATTATCAAGTTTAGAATACTGAAACTGACAAATCCATGCAAGGAAGATAAAGTGTCTGTTTTAAAGGAAGACAGATCTAACAAGGAATATAGAAATAAGCAATTAGAATAGAATATAAGAACTACCATGAGCAAAGAAGAAGTAATTATTCCTGGAAGATTCTATAGAACAGGTAATATGTGATCTGGAACCTGAGAGATACATCAGATCTTTCCAGGTAGGTGAGAGAGAATGGCATGTCAATCATATTAGTACGTAAGGATCTATGAGATGAACCCATATGCCCAGATGACAGGATGCTTAGAGGGAGAGAAGGGCATAGAAGAGACTGCAGAGGCACTGGGGGTGAAGTGTGGTCAGGCCATGAAGGCTCTTGCACGTTGAGAAAGGGAATTGGAATCTTATCTTCCAGGTGAAAGTGTTCAATTTTTTTTTAATTCACTGACTTTGTGTAGCAATTCATAATCCTTCCTATACCCTCTTTAAGAATATTGGTAAAAATTTTGTGACTTCTGCATGGTGTGTAATCAAGTAGGTAAAAATACCTTAATTTACATTACTACTGTTGATATGGCATTATAATTTTCCAACTTTTCCTCACTCATTAATACGTTACTCAACTTACTTTAAATCATGTAAGAGAAGGCATGATTTACTGACATACAAATTATTAAATGACACATGATGTTTGATTTGGGGCCCAAATGTTTTACAACATAGATTCAAATATGATCTTATAATTATACAGTCATGAATTGATTTTTGGAATTCTTACATTTAATGTATAAAAATCACTGGTCTAGCTTAACAATACTTGTGTTTTGTTTCTTAACACTGAAGTAAAAACAAAGGCTCTAAACATGGTTGTTAATATATACAGATATAAAGATAAAGATACCTGTTTCCTGGCTTTGGCCACTGAGAGGATTAGTAGCAACTGAGCACATGTAGCACTGAGATGTTGGTGTTTACACATCATTCCCTACTAGAAAGAACCAGAGCTTTCTGGCAAAACTGCTGAATCAAACTTTGGGGCAGGAACAGTCCAGATGATCCTGGAACAACTTGGTGAACCAGAAAGTAAGGGAGTACTCAAGGGAAGATGGGGACATAGGCACCATCCTGAAGAGATGATGAAATGAGGAAATCAACATGTGGCAACCAGCAGAGTAATATGTGATTCAAGCAAGAATCATCAACGAATATTAAAGCGAGCAAGGGAGTAAAAATCTAATGAGTAAAAGGATATTTATATAGCCCTAAGTATCTCCTTAAAATAAAATAATTAGAGAAAAAAACCTGTAACTTTCTGGAAGAAATTAGTTTCATTGGTAATGGGTTACATATACATCACACGCCTCCTACATAATCCACTGAAAACAACACAACACCACTTCTGGGGTATGCCCGCAAAAAACTGAATAATCTGACTGTAATTATGAGGAAACATCAGATAAACAAATGGAAAGGCATTCTACAAAATAATTGGCTTATATTCATCAAGGTAATGAAAGACAAGAAAACACTGAGGAACTGTTCCAGAATAAAGAAGACTAAAGAGATTTCACAATCAAATATGGCTCATGATTTGGGATTTTCTTCTCCTAATAAAGGGCAGTGCTTAGAAAATGCGTGACATTTGAATAACTTCTAGGGGTTAGCTAGTACTATTGTCATAAGTGTTAATTTCTTGATTTTTATTATTTTCTTTTTTTTCTAAGGGTTTAGAAAAGCAATTTTT